AAATGGCAGGCGTTTTGATAGATATCATTAGCCATTTAGCTGACTTCGGGCTTCACAGAGGGAAGGTTCATCAAAGTAGCAGAAAGTCGATTGGTGGGGAACAGAAGAGCGATTCTCAGATGTAAAAGGGGCAGACAGATACAAAGGTAGAGAAAAAGGTAAGGTGAGTACTGTGGAGGGGTCGAATATGACAACCAGGGGGGTCGTGGTAGTTTGAAGTCAGAAGTCAAATACCGGTTAATAAACTTTTTTGCCGCATGAGTATACGTTGCTCAGGGTGCACCACGTGGAGGTAAGTCTATCGCACACCTCAGACCAACAACATTTAAATAGGTAAAAGATGGTCTGGAAAGGCAATAGTCAAATCTGATGTTTGATTGATTTTTTAAAAACAATCACCAAGACTGATGACAGTTTTGTTCACTGGTTTAGTTTCGACAGGCAGCAGTTTTTTCAGCGTAAATCATGGGATCAAGGGCAAAAATTTGAGGTTAATATTTATCAAGTGACAAGAAATGTACTCCGCTCTTTCTTAATGAACATAAAAAGGCAAAATAAAATAGGATTCAAATAGAGAGAATGACTCGTTGGCGGATTGGCATGCAATTCTGAGCTTTATCTCTGAATATTCGGAAAACGTTTTTAATCACACAACCATTTTAAGTCTTTACCCAGAAATATAATGTTATTTACTCCTCTTGTGCAGAGCTTTTATGAGCTTTTGTGATTGATAGTGAAAATTTTAAGTTATTGCTCTAGTGGAACAAGTGCAATAATGGCCAATCGACGTAATATTGTATGGCAAATACGAATTTCAATTGGACTTAATCATTTTTTTATAAACGATAGTTGTGTGGTTTGGTTTAAAATAGGTTATCTAAATTCTTAATAATATTGAATATCCTCATGGGGGCACATTGCAAACAGTGGAAGGAATAGGTAGGAAAAATAATGTCATTGGCTCACTTCTAGTTAAATGTAGGGAGTAATTTCACTGAAACAAGCGAATGGAAATAAAGCACCACGTTGGCACTTGATAAACAGTCTAATTCTAATAACTGTAAAATATGTTAAACAGGGTTAAGAGAGACGAAGATTTATCCTCCCGTATACTAAAAATTGTACAAATAAAACAAAAGGATTGTCCTGATATAATAGCTTTGCAATATGTATATATTGACCGCTGCTTTAATTAATAGAGGAATTAGTAATAATAAGTTCACATTCAAAGGGAAACAAAGTAAGTTGCCTGATGTAACTAAATAATTTAAAATGACATAACTGAGTAATCACATAAAATAAGAATTCGTACATACTTAAAATAATGACGACACATTTGAGGAATAAGGATAGTCCCAAATGGAAATTGCGCTTACATTAGTGAAAGCGAACCCGAAAGTATGTATTGCAAAAGAACTAAGCTATATTTTCTGGAAGATGGTGAAGGTAAGCAGTAAATTATAACGTAGATTTTGCCTTGTTTACGATAATTAACATATACTCTACATTAATGAACTGAATGAGTACAGAATATAATAACATAGATAATGAATAAATCTAAATGTATCTGTACTCCTTTCGAAAAAAATTAATTTAATGGCTATGCTTGACAATTCGGAACATAAATTTGAGCAGTTAAACTTTTTTTATAAATGAAAGTCGAAATATATTAAACAATCTTTGGCACGTTAGATATGTAGCAGTTACATTAAGAATTTGGGCAAAAGTTAAATTTAAATCATATAGCTTCTTACACATTTTAAGTAACCATTTCATTATAATGTTCATATCTGCAAAGAAAGACGATTCGTAAAAACACTTGCTTAAAATCAATATCTTAAAACTTGTAGCGTATTATCTACCTTAATAAGCCTTGACTATTATAAATAATTGTTCATCGAAATTAAATAGCATAGAACGGTCGAAGTTAAATGCGGAATACAAACCTATGACCTAATTATTAAGGTACTTACCAAATGAGCGGGTAATTATAACTCCAACTTTCAACCAATGACTATAAGGCATTGTGGCGATCACTTGTAGCTGATTTTCAGAATGACCGATTGTAGATTAACTGGTGAATCTTTTGTAAATTTTGTCTTCATGCCTACCATTGGAGTTTTGTCTACAAAAGATGTAGATGATTTCCTAGCTCCGAACAATCTTACCTTCACCGAATTAATCGCCCCATTTGCAGAAAACTTAAAAGATGGTCTGCATTTTATAACATTTTCCTTACTTAGTGATTTTTAGTTTTCATGAAAGATGGAAATAATATCGTTCATATTGTTAAAAGGCTCTGTGTTCGCTTTATAAGCATCAATGCTCCATTTAACCCGCTGAAGAATCCAGATTTGTTCATTCAACCCTCTCACTTTATTCTTAAAAACCCTACCAATTTCAATCTAAATGGAAGAAACATAAATATTCCTTGTACGTATTTTTTTAATTTTCATTATATTTTCTTTAGTTGCCACTCCTTGGTTTGAGACTTGGCGATACATGTTTCTATCAAGATTGGATGGATTTGAGCATGAATTTTTGTCTCGGTATCTGGGGTGCATTTTTGTTGTTAGCACACGGAATCCAGATCCTCTGAGTGCTTTCTCCTCTCTTGTTCAACAACAGCTCCAATTAACAAAATCCCAACCCTATCGATGGTTCAGTCAATCCCAAATTATCAAATTTTTTGTTCTTATGAACGATTCTGATATGATGTCTCCTGCTGAGTAAGTGATTCATTTTTTTCTCTCACGCAATGATGCGATTTTAGAAGTAATAAAATTTTCCAATCAATTGGATCAACTTATGGAAATACAAATTGTTATTTTCTTAATCTTGCACCGTCTTCTCACGCAACTGTAGTAAATGAACCTGCTAAGGATATTTGGATTCCTTACTTACTACCACACGGATTAAATCAAACTGAAATTGACGGAGATTCCTCTGTTCTAAAAACCGAGATCACTAGACCTCATGGAGAAAGCCTTTCTTCAAATGATCATGAAAAAATCCGAGCTTTCATAGAGGATTTTGTGTCCAGAATTTTAGTTCCGTGGTCGGAAACGACTATCAGACTTCTGAACGAGCAAACTTCGCACCGTTTACGCAAAACTAGGGGTTTTTTCTCGGTAACCAGGAAGCTGTTCTCTCAAACTACTTTGAATGATTCAACTACGCCCTCACTTACTCCAAGTCAATCAGATTCAAATGTTTCGCTATTGAGTGGTTCTTCCGCTGGTTCAAATTCCTCTTTGACGTCTACTTATCCCGATGATGCTCCCGAACAACAAATGAGACGATTAGCGGATTTGCTCTTCCTTTTTCAGCAATACGAATCCGCACACCAGATATACGATCTCCTGAAAAAGGATTTTAAACAGAGGTCTGCTTGGTTGCACTATGCTGGAACTCAGGTAATTTCATTGCAACTATAATGTTTGCAGAGATCAAAATCTTCCAATACTTTGCACATATCCCTTTATGCTCGTGACACAAAATATTGTAATAATGCGCATGCGATTATATATATATATATATATATATATATATATCAATAATATATTAGGTTGGCAACAAAGTCATTGCCGATTTCAAATAAGAAGGCAAATTCGGAATTTTTGTTTAAAAATATGACTTTATTCAATTAGATATTGGCCGTTCTTGTCGATGACCTTTTTCCATCGTTCTGGCAGAGTAAAAATTCCCCGTTCGTAAAATGTCTGGTCTTTGCTGTTAAAAAACTGAATTAGGTGTGATCCGACATCATCCGCGTTGTTAAAAATTTTACCATTTAAAGAGTTTTGCATGGAACGAAACAAATGGTAATCCGAAGGCGCAAGGTCAGGGCTATATGGTGGGTGTGAGTGACAAAACATCCCAACCCAATTCCAATAATTTTTGCCGAGTAACCAAAGATGTGTGGGGCCTTGCGTTATCATGATGGAAAACAACACCCTTCCGATTTGATAATGCCGGCCGCTTATCTTCAATTGCATCCTTCACTTTTTCGAGTTGTTCAACATACACATTTGAATTTATCGTTTGGTTCTGCGGCATGTGTTCAAAATACAAAATTCCTTTGTGATCCCACCAGACTGACAGCATAATCTTTTTTGGTGAATCTCTGCTTTTGATACTGTTTGGGCTGGTTGATCTTGCTTCACCCATGATCTCTTGCGAGTAACATTGTTATAAACTATCCACTTTTCGTAGCCAGTAACTGGGTTCTTCAGAAATGGATCATTCTCATTACGTTTCAGTAGCGGCGAATCACAGATGCTAATCCGTTGCGTCAAATGAATTTCCTTTAACTGGTGAGGGATCCGTAAATCAAGTTTCTTGACATAACCAAGGGTTTTTAATATTTTTCAATGCATGTATGCGACACATTGAGCTTCTCTGCAATATCTCGTGTTGTGCTGTGACGATTTGAATCGATAATGGCCTTGATATGGGTTTCATCCACTTCGACTGGGCGGCCAGATCGTTGTGAATTTTTCAGTGAGAAATCACCGGAACGAAATCTTTCAAACCAATTTCGACACTGCCTTTCTTTTAAGGCTTCATCTCCATATACGGCACATAACTTCTTTTGTGCTTGCGATGCGTTCTTGCCTTTTCGGAAGTAATACAATAAAATGTGTGGGAAGTGCACGTCCTGTTCTTTCATTTTTAAATTGGGATAAAAACAAAACTAAAGAACTAATTAAAAAAATTTTTTTCTAATTAATCTAGAAGCCCATACAGCGTTAGATGCACTGGCCACGTTAACAAAGGTTAGATGCTCTGGCCACGTTAACAAATCAAAAGAAAGTATGAATCTGTCAACAAAAACGGCAATGACTTAGTTGCCCACCCAATATATATATAGATTGGCAGATGCTCTATGAGGATCTGTCACACAATCAGTGAAGAAATTTCTTGCATGAAGTCATTTAATCGCATCTCATATGGTTATAACACTGTCCTCTATGTGATACTACCAATTCCTCTCAACAATGGAAATAGCACTTTCTAATCCTTTTTTTCAAAAGGAATATGATATGACCTGCAAGAATTTGCTTTCAGTTGCATGTTAAAGTTTTCAGTTCGTTTTATGTCTTATCCTAGGAAATGTCTGCCATGTCAACGTATCTCCAGGGGGCCGTCAGTCAACGACAGTATCCTCAACATCAAATGGATGAGGCCATTATTACTTACGTAACTAAGTGCAAGTGAGTACTGCCACCGTCTTAAAGTTAAGTATAAGTTTTGAGTACTATAAGACCTCAAAACACAGAGGGCCGAAAGGGGCAAGCTTATTTTTGAATGCTGTGATGTATTGGGATATCACATTATTTGAATAACGATTCAAAGGGAGATTGAAGCAGGCAAAACCGAGTTAGTTTTATGGAATCTAAAGAGAGGGTGAATTTAATCTTGTCATAAGAAAATGGAGATTCACTAGAATTCACACCTTGAAACATTCAAGCCATCTTAGCTATTTAACTGAGAAGAACCTGTTGAAACCACCCCCTTTAATCAACCAATTATTAGATCTAGGGTATTATGAACGTAAATTTGATCATTAATCCAGAGACTTATCATAAAGTTGGCATTGTGAAATGTGAAGGATTGAACTACCCCGTAAGTTACCAGAGTATACAATATCCACTGCAAGTCAAATGAAGCAATTTCCCTCGGATAGCCTCATTTAATTCGTAGCTTCCACTTGATTCCCTATCCTTTACAATTGTAATTGCAATTCATAGCCCTACGGTGGCTAATAGATTAATAGCAGCATAAGTGGATATTTATAACTATGGTGCATATTTTGTTCTAGTCAGACGAACATATGCATTGTTTTAAAGGCCTTGCATTGAAGGTAGGTGGTAGATGAATATGTACTAAAAAAAGTCTATAAACCGGCAGTTGACTTCTAACTTCAAACTACCATCACCCCACTGTATGTCATATTCCACAACTCTCACAGTACTCACCTCACCTCTGTCCCTACGTTTGTGTCTGTCTGTCTCTTCTACATCTGTGAATCACTCTTTTGCTCCCCCTCTCGAATTTTTCTCACTTTGATGTTCCTCCCTCTGTGAAGCCCGAAGTCAGCTAAATGGCTAATGATAACTATTCAAAACGCCTGCCATTTGAAATAATAATAATTTCCCTTAAATTCGAACAATGGATAGTGTCTGTTTCGTTGTTTTGCAATGTTTTCTGCATCAATACTTATTTCTATCTGGGCACTACCTTGGCCCATGCCCCTACCGGTTAAAGCACCAGGCCATAAATACACCGGCTACACAGTCGCCGGCTGTGTTACTATTTCACCCAATGGTTTCGACTCACCGATTACAATGAAATATACCCCGATCTGAAGAGAAAGTACGAAGATTTACTGGGGTGCAGCTGTAGTGCCTTTGGGGAAGGCAGTTATTTAACCACACATATAAACCTGTTCTCAAAGTGTCGCTCCTAGTTTAGCCCCCCTTAGAGATGTCTCTCTAGACTA